GGGGGAGCCGAGCTGCTCCTGGTGGTGCCGAGCGTAGGGGCAGTGGGCATGAGCTGCTGCTGGGGAGAAATGTAGTTAAATATTAGGAGATCACTTTTAACTGTAAGGGTGGTCCGGCATGAGGCATGGAGGGCTTCTTGTCTCCAGACTAACCCCAGGGAAACTCAAAATTCAGCTGGGGAAGTGCTGAGCCACCAGATGCAACTGTGAGGTTGGATTTACATTTAAGGTGGAACCTGCTTAAAGCAGAGTTAAGGTCAGACCTCCAGAGATCCCTTCCAACCCAAATCAGCCCGCAATTCAGCTGTGCAAAGCTGAGTGTTCAGCCTGCGAGTCTGGGAGATCATGAAAGCCCCATCCCACTAATGGGGAAGCTGAGGCACGGGAGGGAGCGGTGATGTGTGCAAGGGTGTGTAAAAAACCACAGTTCTCCTTTGCAAGGGAACACTGCATATCCCTTTTCTTACTTTTTAGTTTAACAAATAATAAGTGTTTTTTGAAGGGCACGGTCAGCCCAGGACTGGTGGCTGCAGGGACCCGGGTGCAGCACAGCGTGCGCTGCTGGAGCGTGTGTAGGACTTCAGCCTGGGAGGGCAAGGGCAGAGGTACAAAGGATGGCTGATAGCAGCCAGCCGTGAGGCAGGGAGCCCACGTCTGCAGTAAGGGACACACTGCCTGCCAAAAGAGACCAACCGGACACCCGCTGCCTCTCCGACTGGTTTGTAACTGGGGCCATGAGGAAGTCTCCGTTGGAGAGTGGTCCAGTCCTTGCCCTGAGCACAGGTGTGGAAACGGGCTTTTCTACACTCAGCATTCAAAAAGGACTGCTTCTGCAAGCTCCTCAGCAGGAGGCAGAAGCTAAATTTCAGGCTCTGGACAAAGTTGCCTGTGATGGTGTTGCTCGAAGACAAACAGGGCAGCTGCAGCAGAGCAGGAAGCAAATAGTAGCTTTTTAATAATATATCTGAGCTTACCCAGTGGGCCAGAGCACTGTTAATAGTCTCCATTTTCTGACCACTACGAAATCAGCTAGAAAGGGAGCTTCTTATCTATAATTATATTAATTATGTCACCCAACCAGCCTGCATCTCCCCACCGTAGGGAGATCTCTGTGCTCAGCATTTCTCATTACACTGCAAAAATAAAGCCTGAGCCACCCAAACCTGCTGTGGCACCAGGGTCCTTCCTGTACCTGTGGCCACTGGGTCCTCATGGCATATTGGTGTGTACTAGGGTGCTGACACTGTAATGGGGGTCTGTGCCCATCCCAGATGTGCACCCATGTCCTTGTACAAAGTGGTGGAAAAAACCAGGCAGCAGGGCTGGACCTTGTTCTTCAAGGATGGCTCAGGTTCATACGGATGGTGAAACCTCCCCGGGGTCATCCCTGGAGTTACTGAAAGCCTCCAGGGTCACCTGGCCAGCTAAGGTGAGTGGCCCATGTCCCCAAAACACAGCCTTAGCTCCACATGCTCCAGTGGTAGCTGACACAAAAAATTTCAAGTAGCATCTCTGGACAAAACGGTGAAATACCAGAAATAAAGAAAATACTGAAAGCTGCAGGAGACATGATTTGCCTCCTCCAACCTCTCCCCTCTCCAACGACAGTGTGCTGAGGTAAATTCAGGATTTTCCTTCCTTGCAGCAGCTTCTGCCCATGCAGAGGGAGAGCACACTTTGAGCCCAGCTCTAATTTAGGCTAGAACAAGGAAAAGACCAGATCCCTAGGGAAAGCTGCACACACTGATAGTTTTTATTACCAGTGTAATAATTTAACATCAGCAATGTGCATCTGATCATCTCCTCAAGGGTCATGCAGCACACGCAGATGGGACCTCACCTACTCCCACCACCATGGGACTTTACCCCTCTGGGCATTTACTTACCATATGTTTAATTCTTTTAACATGTGCATTAGCTGTGTGAAATCAATTCTCTGATTCATCTAATTCATTTGTGGCTTTTTGAAGTGAAGAGCTTACAATGATCTGGACGATCCCTTTAGGCTTACATCCCTCTAGGGTGCATGCAGGAACCCTGCAAAAAATGGGTTATACCAGGATACCTGCTGCAGACAGAAGTATCCACAGGGCTGTTGTCACAGCCTTATCTGTGCCCTGGGCCTATCAGCATCGGTAGCCCTCGGTAACGAGGCCATCGGTTAACGCTGTGGTGGCAGGGACTGCTTATGTGGCAGCCCCAGGTGAGCCCAGAGCATAGGGAAGCACCTGGCACATGCACCTGGACGACAGTGCCGTTTACTGGGAGAGCTTTTGCCACGCTCAGTCCTGAAATTTCCATGCATTCAAACTTAGAGCATTATTTCTTTTATATTATTTTTAATTTTAAAAGAAAGGAGGGGAAGAAAGTGTCTGTGCTGCTGCACACCAGCCTGTCGGGGCTCATCCACTGCAGCAACAGATCCACTGCAGCTGGAAAATGTAACAGCCTTTACTTAACCT